TGATAAATTTCATATCTAGATTGAAGCATCACCTTTTAATTTGTTGAAGGTTGAGGAAGATGAAAGATGGAGGAGATGATAATGCCATAAACCGAAGACTGTTAATTTGTTGAAGGTTAAAGAAGATGAAGGATAGAGGAGATGTCAAAGTCATAAAGGGAAGATTGGAGAAATATCCAGGGCATAGAGATATTCAATTTCTTCTTTATCTGTTGGTCTTTTTGCTTTCTTTAGTTGTTAGTTATTATAATATGATTTCTTTACTTATTATATTGGGCCATGAATGAAGAATGGACCCATTAAGAAAGGGCTTTTTATTTGGGCAGAAATAATATGGATAATGAAACTTATTTTAGATCATGTTTATATTGCATATTTTAATATAAGAAATATATAAAATATTTTTTATTACCGTGTGTCCGTGTCCTACCATACTCATATCTTTAGTTTTTTAAAAATTACCGTGTCCATGTGTTATTGTACTGTTTTGCCTGTCCAGTGCTTCGTAGCTGATTGTAAAAAGAGGTTTGGTAAGTTGTTTTTAATGTTGAAAATCCATTACCATCTGGTCAATTATGGCTCATGATTTGAAATTTTCTGAGACTGCTTTGATCATGTTTGATAATTTGCTCAGGTTTTTGTTCGAAATTTTGTACCCAGTGCTCCGGCTTTTCTGATGAATGGAGAGCCTAAGAACTTTCTCTTGAAAACCCTACATCTTCAAGGGTGGGGGAAAAGAATAGATAGATTCAAGCTAGGCGAAGGTGCAATGCCAGCTAGCTTCAAAGTTCTTCACGAGCCTGTACGTAAATCGGACACAATTATTGCAGATTTTGGAGAGAGTGCCATTGGAAGAGTTGCTCCGGTTGACTCTGGGTTTTGGTGGATCATTCTGCTCCGTTCACATACAAGATCTACTGGGGGTTTATCTCTAGCTGAGACACCTGAGTGTCAAAAAGGGATGAGGCTCATACTTACTCTGTGTCTATCGGAAGAATTTGATACATTTCCAGCCCTACTTTGCGCTGATGGGTGCTCTATGATTGATCGAAGAATGGTAAGCTATTCTTCTAGTCTTAATCTTTCTCTCTATTTTGTGCATGTGTGTGTGCTCACCTGCTTCTATACGTAAGTTTCCTTGCTAATCTTATAGTTATTTTAATGTGAGACAAGCAAAGCATTTGAGAAACTTAAAATATCAAACTCTATGAAAATTGGAATTTGGATATAAGATGGATTATTAATGGAAAACATAATGGCCAATAGTAATATATTATTACAGCTTAGTAACAGAATGGAGCAGCATGACCTTCAGAAATCTAGGTCCTTGTTCAATTCCTGATCAGCAACATATTGCCATAAATAAGTAGATTTTTGAATGCCTCAGCTCCTCCACTCTAGGCCTCTGCGTTTTTTCTCAGTCATTAAAGCGCCATCGCATATTCCAGCAGTTCCACCAGACCCATGTTCTCAATCGACTGATACAACCAAAACCCACCACTAATATCTTCTTTAACTTCTTTCTGCTTTATCCATGAATAATTACCCTGACCAGATGACTTGACTAGATATCGATCAAGAACTGCTTTCACATTATCATTGGTGTATACTCTTCCAGATTTTGGTAACGTGAGGATACCAACTTCTACCCCGCACAATGTGGAAAGCTCTTTAGCTTTATTGAACAACCCTCTTCTACGTTTGGAGAAAGTGACTTGACGTTTGCTTTCGTCTTCCAGTTTCTTGATTTCAATTCGTTGACGACCTCGACTACTTCTTGTTTTCTTGGCCACTGTTGCATTTGACATTAATACATTATCCTCCATGGTGAGAAAACAGAAAATCAGCCAAGGACACCAAAATTTGTACAGCACTTCTATGCATCTTTAGTGGTTGATAAACAAAGACTGAGCGCATGGGTTTATTTATACAAGTTTAACCAAGTAATAACCTAACTTGCATAACAAGAAATAATTTAGCTATGTGACCGACTTGCCACTTTAATTTCCTTTTATAATGAGTACCGCTATTTTAAAGATATTGAGTGAGATTATTTTTTTTTAGAAAAATTATAAAGATTAGTTACCCTATACATTTAAATTTTATGAATAGAAAAGATTTACGAATTTGTATTATTCTTCAAATCTTTATATTTTATTTTTACTCTTTAAAAAAGTTTCATGTATTTTATTACAAACAAAAAGCTTAATTTTTAAAAAAGAAATCATTTGGCTCAACTTATGAAAAAATTATGAATTTTAAAAGTTTTAACTTATGCAGGAAGCATATTTGAGCTTTGAGAGGAATGGTAAGCTATTTTTCTAATCTTAATCTTTCTCTTTATTTTGTGCATATGTGTACTCACCTGCTTATATACGTAAGTTTCCTTGCCAATCTTATAGTTATTTTAATGTGAGACATGCAAAGCATTTGAGAAACTTAAAATATCGAACTTTATGAAAATTGGAATTTGGGTATAAGATGGATTATTAATGGAACAAATAATGGCCAATAGTAATTTTATTGATGACGAGCTTTGTGACAGAGAAAATGGAGCAGCATAGACCTTTTAGAAATCTCGGTCCTCGATTTTTAATTTAATAGTATGTTGTTTCTATAAATATTGATGGTAAATGTTATATTGATGGTTCAACTGAATAATTATATGTTTTGTTAGACCAACTTACTATTGATTTTCTTAGCCAATCTCCTATGGCTTTGGGAAGTCATTCAAGCAAATAAAGTTCAATTTTTTTCATATCATTAATATTATAATGAATTTTGGTGTGAAATTCGTCATAAGTGTTACCAACAATGACATTGTACGCCTCAATTGCTTTTTTGGCCTTGCGCGTAACTGTACAGGAGTAACGTTATCTGGTACAAATAAAATAGTTCCTGGGAAATCTTATTAGATATAATCTGATTTTAATAATTCTAACTTCTGAGAACCAAATCCTTGCTGTACTGAACATAAATGAGTTCTTCGGGCTTTGGGCCCATGTCTATTTCTATTAACTTTGTATGAAAAGCTATAAGGTTCCATCTAAGTTTTACCGTAGGATCATCTTGAGCATATGGCCACCATCTGGTGGGACCATAGGTGGCTAATGACAACAAAAGTATGGTCCATTAGGGTGTAAATGATACATTAGTACTCGCAAGCTACTCGGGTTCGATTCGAAAAAAACTCGAATTCGGTTCGATTATTGTCGAGTCGAGCTCGAGCTCGAGTAGCTCGACTTACCGATCGAGCCGAATTCGAGTATTTTATATCTGACCTCGAGTAGCTCGCGAGCCTAATCGAGCTTTTATATTTAAATATATTTTTATTTTTTTTAATTAATAAAATATTTTCGAATCCGAGTTCGAGTTCGAGTTCGAACATGAATAATCGAACTCTTGTCGAGTATACGAATCGAGCTTATTTTACATATTAATCGAGCTTAATCGAGCGAGCTCGAGTAGCTCGAATTCGATCACGAATCGAGCTCGAGCTTAAAAAATAAAACTCGATCGAGCTCGAACCGAGTATCGAGCCCCGGAGTTGTGAGTCGAGCTCGAGCTCGAGCTTCTCACTACTCGGCTCGGCTCGGCTCGTTTACAGCCCTAGTCCACTTCAGCTTTTCGATCTCCACCATAAAGTAGAACCAAATATATCAATACCGTATTGTTGCTAAGAAATTGTAGGATATAGTTAGTTTGTGTTTGTCTTTTTAACTTTCATGGATATGATACTAATATCCCAAGTAAAAATTGATCGCAAGATCTCAAAAGCGCTGTAATATTCCGTATAATAAAGTTTTGAATGACATTTCATGGCAGATGTGGGATGACCAGTGGAAAAGGAGCTACAGATAAATAATTTTAATAGTTTGTGTAGCATTGTTTGCTAGGCTGTCACATGATAGAATAGACAAGAAACAATGTGGCTTAGATGGTGGGCGGTGATACAACTTCTGATTCTCGTTAGGTTTATTATTCTAAGTCCAATTATATGTTTTATAAATGAAACGATTTAAGAAAATGGTTCTTTTGGTTGACCGGATCCATATATTGATTGTAAGTGAAATATTAGTGAAGGTCTTCCTTCGTCCTCATCTGGTTAGTTCTAGGAAATATTTGTTAATAGACTCATTTTTAATGTTTGAGACAAACATGTTCTTTATGTGATTCTATAATGATGACACGACTTATGGGGTATTGTATGTTTTAGCCAAATGGGTTTCTCAGTTTTTGTTCACAAAAAGTGGCTAGTAAGTATTGTTACACTTAAGTCTCTATATATTTTTTGTAGATCCTTACAAATTTCTAACGCGGAATTGAAGGTGTTACATATTCATCAAGGACATGATTCGTATCTGAATTAGGAATCATATCTGCCTATTGATTGTCAATTTAGGCAAGCACTTTTTTATTATTCTATTAATGTGGTTGCATTCATGCTTCCCTATAAATCTTTTTAGCTATCCTTTTCTCTATTTTTTTTATTTAAAATTGGATCTTTCTGCATTTTCTTCAAAATTTTCTTCTTACTTGATGACTTATGCTGATGAAATACTTAAGAAGTTAATTTGCGTTATGCACTTTATATAGACACATCATTTTGTCCGAAAATATTTTTTCGAAATTAAGCTTCAATCGTAATTGAAAGATTTTTTAGATTTAATTCCAGAATCAATTGGCATTAAAAATGATGTGGAGAGATTGTCGAAATTTAATTCTATAATCAATTCACATTAAATTGATAGGGAGAGATTTTGGAATTTGATTTCAGAATCAATTTTTATTAAAACGAAAATAAAATAAAATCAAAGATTAAGGGAAATTGATTGAGTATGAATTCCTATATAAATATGTGATCAAAGCAAATGGGGATAGAGAGAAAAAGAGATTATGTAGAAACTCTTGAGAGAAAAGAGAAAATTTTGTTTAGTAACTAAGAGGTTTAGGTTCTGGATTTGATTTGTTTCGATTTTCTAGAATTGAGATTTGGTGTTTTTGAGTTTGAATTTCTGTAAGCTTCTGTATTTTAGGGATTCTTGGTTTTAGCTTTTTAGATAATTTGTTGGTTTTTGAAAATTCTCTATCAGCTTTTGAGATTTATTTGTTAATTTTTGAAATTAGATAGAGAGAAGATAGAAGAATAATCATTTTAGAAAGAGAGGCATACTCAAAAACTTTTGAAGAAAAGCTTGAAATTTGAGGCATCTAAATCTGTGTGTTTTACCATGACCCGATCGTTGGTATTTTCTTCCTATTTTCACTCCATTTTCTGTTTTGACTTTATTTTTTTTATTTTATTTATGTTATTTTGTTTATTTTTATTTACTCTTATATTTCTTATTTTAAATTGAAAAAATACATTACTTATTATTGTGATTTTTTTTCTTTATGAGTTTCATTTTACTTATTTACAAACAAAGTAAAAATAAAAAATCTTTTCAAATAAATTCATGAATCATTCCAAACTATTGGAGAATTTTATGGATTTGAATTTTACAAAATCCACCAAACTATTGAGAAATTTCATAAAATCAGTTTAAAAAAATAAAAAATATTTTCATCCTCCAAGCGATTGAAGGATTACTTTTTAAATTAAGTCTTACCAAACTATTAGGAGACTTAATAAGATTGACAAAATTTTTTACAAATTTTTTTACAATAAAATCTCACCAAACTATTGAGAAATCTATCTCAAAATAAGTCCTACTAAAACTATTAGGAGATTGTACTTTTTTTTTAATAAAAGTACATTAATAAATTTGACGACGAAGCCTTTCCAAAGTGAGACACTAGTCTCCATGAATACTCATGAGGTAAGAGATTATCTTAAAGTGTACCAAACTATTGGAATAATTTTAAGATATATTTTTAATATTAAATTATCTGGTAAATCATAAATATCATCAAGGGCTTGGATAATCTAAAATCCAACTGGTACAATTTTTTGGATGGGCACTGTGGGAGTGCTATAACCTTCCCCACGTGTAACCATACTCTCGAACCTAAACTCTGGTTTTCCTATATCAAAATCTACTATTTAAGATACCTAACACTACAAACAAAATGGCGTATTAGCAGTAGTTTTGTAGAGGCCTTTCACTTACAAATGTCGCTAGCTTCCGTGTTTTTATAAAACTTCAAGTGTTTATTATCTAAATGCCACTAAATATTCAAATAACGGTGTTGTTACTTATAAATGCCATCCAAGACTTGATATTAGAGGCATTTCTCGACTAAAACACCTTGAATATGTTTTATTAAAAGTTTCAATGAATAGTTAAGGCATATTTTTGATAGACAACGCCTTCAATAATCACGTCCTAAAAAATTATATAAGATTAATGAAGGTCTTGTCTACAAGAAGCGCCGTTAATATGTAGACAAAAAATTTTTGACTTATGAAATTTATTTTTTCAAAAACTCATTCAATATTAAGCTTATCAAATCATTTGGATTCGTACAGATGTTTACCATAAGGTTGTTAGTTTGATTCGTCTTTAACCCTTTTTTTGGGTCTATGCACAGATTATTTGTTATTGATTATTCTAGGGCATTTTCTTGACAAAAATGCATTCACCATTATTCCAGTTGTTGCTGAGGGTCGCCCAATTTATGATAACGTAAAAGCTTTCATAAGGCATGTTAATTTGATCTTGTACTTTACTCTGAGCAATTAAGATATGCCTTATTTATTTATTTCTAAATTCCACAAATACATGATATCATCAAATGTTGAGAAGTAATATCCATATTCTTGACTGTTGCTCTGGGGTTATTAGAATGTATGATACTTGTGCAACTTTTATGGGCAAATTTGGTTATTGATGGTCTTTTTATGATAGCTTTTGGGTTTAATCCTCCAAATGAAGGCATAATGCAAAGCACCCCGTAAAAGTGATGATGCTCTTATTAACTCCTGGGTTCTCTTTTGTTTACTTGATTTGTATTCATTAGCACTTA